TTCTTATTTTATCGTTTGAAGCCTTCTCATTATACCTATCAAAAACCTAACAGAAAAGAAATCCCATGCAAAAGAGGCCTAATATACCAAAAAACTGTGTAGACAAAGTTTCAACTTGGAGTGGTCTCTAACAAATACATACTTTCTTTAATATCTTGTCATAGAATTTCATGTTTAAGTTAAAGCTTAAGGACCACAAACTTTATACTTTTCTGACTTTCCTTCCAGACGAAAAGAAAAACAGTATAGAAAATGATTTATAACTAGTCGTTAAGTTATCTAATGTGATATTAATGTTCGGTTTATAGCTCAGTTTAGGCCTATACTAAATAAAAGGCTTGTAACCAATCACTTCCTTTAAAAGTAATCACCTCGTTAGTCCAAGATATAGAACAGACAAAATAACAGATTGGTAAAATAGAGTCCATCTGTATGTCCCATAAATAGATAGGCAGGGGTGTGAGGGTGGGTGATAAACGGATGAACTGGTAAAAGAAAGGATAATTTCTGTATACGTTTTTATGTTTTTTTCTTAATTTCTACTTCTATACTTGCGAATATTTTAATATATTTTCAAACAACCAATAATTTGTTCTAGATAAATAAAAGAACACCAAAAAATCATGGGAATACAGTTCTATTAGGTTTCAGTAAGCCTATGTACTTAAATAAAGAAACCGACCGTTTTGAAAATTGCATATATTAGCATATAAGTGAAAATCATTTAACTTTACCTATAACCTTTATTACTAAATATTTTAAGTTGGTTTTTATTTTGCTGAGCCACATATTATATATTTGTAAGCAAATCGACTCCTCTAAAAACCTTCCGAAACAGCTTGTTTACATAGGTAATAAACCTGGTCGACTTGCCCTATGATTAGTTACACATTAGGAGATTTGAGGCTAGTAACACATTTGCACAACCGCTTCGCCAATAATTTGTGATTTAAATATTAACTGTTTTCATTTCTTTATTTATTAATTTTACTAGACCTTTAGGTTAAATGACTTGCTGGTATTACGGTATGTAGAATGTGTAGTGAGTTAATCTATAACTAACTCGTGATTCAATATCTTTGCGTAATTAACGCCATTGCACCCAGTTGAAAATGTTAGCGTGGTTAACAGCATATCGCAGACTCGAACATTGGATCTTCCATTTCTTAATTTTCCTTTGCTACCATGCTATTTGCCAGATTGTTTTTCTTATTATTACTCTTTCTCTACTGGCTCTTATCACTTTTTCTTATTAAGATAAACTCACAGAAACACGTATATACATATCTATGGATATTTTTGCACACGGTGTGCATTAAGTGTAGTAAAAACGCATCAAATGTAGGCTACCATGCTAATGGTAAGAGCTGTAGATCCATAAGACCTCTTCCTGCGATATTAATTACTACGAGATTCCCAGACGGGTGAGGTACTAAAAGACTCCTTTTTTGTAATTACTGTTATCATTTATTAATCAATACACACTTCGTAAGTAAGGATCGATAACTTTAATGAATGTGATTTAACTTCGTATCGTAATCATTTCGTGCAATTATCTTTATCACGTTCTATTAAAAAGGAGACTTCAAAAACGTATTTTGTAGTTTCTTGACATGTTAGCGAGTAGTTAGTCACGTGCCGTTTTCTGTGATAAGTAACCTTATCTGCCTCAGAAGTGGCAGTTAATGAAGCCAAAGATGCCTCACTTTTCTTCTTCTTTCCTCAATAACGTTATCTTCTAATTGTGACAGTAATAGTTTACAGTGCGCTCAGAGTTGACCTCGAATGCATCAAATTTTAATAATCGATATCATTTTGCGACAAGCTGTTGGTCAGGCATAAAAAATGCGCCTTGATTAAATAAATTTGAAAGATTATTAAAATTCGTGAGTTATCCAGTACTTTTATTGGCTTATTGATATGTTCAAAAAGTTTTATTTGATAGACCTTTCAAGTGTAATTTCAGAAAATGTTAATAACGACACTGGTATTTGGTATTTCCAAACTGTACGACACCTGGGCTGAGCATTCTTGTGAGAGCAGAGACTCCAAGGCTCAGGTATAGTCATCCCTAATTTAGAACTGCTGATAAGATTGAGGGCAACTAGTCAGCAGCACCAAAGAGCAGGATTGAATGTCACGCCCTCTAGTCAGCAGCATACCAAAGAGCAGAATTGAATGTCACGCCCTCTAGTCAGCAGTACCAAAGAGCAGGATTGAATTTGAATGTTAAAGCGTGGAGCATGTTAAGTGGCTCGAATCTTGGGCCTTCAGATCCACAACTCAGCACACTAATGTCAAGGTCACATCTTGTTCTGAATAACATCACTTGGATGTTTTTATATGTTGCTGTCTGTTTGTATTATTATCAAGAATTGATTCTCTCTCTCTAAATGGTTTTGTTTTGTTTATATTCTAAACGAGTTGCGTTCAACACGCTATCAATGTTCCCAGAATAGTAAAATTATCTTTAATGTCTAAAATAACGAGTAAGCTGCGAAACAATTATATATCATGGGAAACATGCATGTACAGCGCACTCGTAGGTTAAGCTAGGGGATACTTCTGCACCCTTAGCAAACCTAGTTCCTGCGTCCTTGAATTTCGTCCTTCTTATAAGCAGATTATCGTAAGGGGGGTTCTTTTCATAATCAAGGAAATATATTACATAACTAATGCTATTTTTTAGTCTTCGAATCTGTGTAGTATGTAAAATTGTTACTTTATGCTCAGGGTAAGCATAATGCAAAGGGGACGTTACTTTAACCAGAGGGTAAGAATATTATATCAGTAATTTATCTTCGTGGCCAACAAATTACGTAATTAATGCTACTTTTCTTCTTGGGATATGTATGTTATGTAAGGCATATTACTTTTATCCTCAGGATAAGCATATTGTGTAAATAATGTTATTTTTTATCCTCAGGGCAAACGTATTGCATAAGGTGAAAATGATAAATGATGTATTAATCTTCAGCTGTTTAAATGTTATGCGGTTCGTTATCACATCTAACTTTGGTAGACTAGAGTGGATTTTGACATCAAGTTGAATTTTTTAATTTTTCACCTAGAATATAAATAGTTGTACGATTAGGCTTAAGGTAAAAAAAATCAATTTATATTGTGTTTACGAATTAAACCTTTTCTTAAAATCTCAATTTTTGTTTAAATCACATAAAACATGATCCAGACATAAATAATGTGAATGCGGCTTTAAACGTCTGACTGATTTTTAATCCATTTCGTGATCTTACAAGAATAACGAGATTAAAGCTAACACTTTTAAGATGCTTATAACTCACGGACGAAGAAATTCTACATAAGTAGCCAGTTTATTTTATACTATCAACTGTAGCTGTAGAACTAACTATAGCATATTAAACGTGTTGGTGACTGCAGACGTTTACGGTTTCGTTATGCAACCTATCAAATATTATTCTATAGGTAACTATACCTCGAATAGTCCTACAAACTGTAGCTGTAGAACTAACTATAGCATATTAAACGTGTTGGTGACTGCAGACGTTTTACGGTTTCGTTATGCAACCTATCAAATATTATTCTATTGGTAAATATACCTCGAATAGTCCTACAAACGTATTGAACCACTTATACATAACAAGCTGCAGGTACTCCGTTATCCAGTTAGGCCTAATGGTTAGCGTATCAAGGGTTCGAAACGTGATGCTCCTGAATATGTTTTATAAGTGAAATATTCGATTCAAATAGCTGGGAAATACCTTCGTAACGACGTATCTGCTATCTGACTACATTCTCTCTGGTCATATTTAAAATTAGGAACGAGTACACCTGAACCCTTGGGATCTCTGACCATGTGCGCATAAGATAACGTGCAGATTGAAAATTCCAATTTCTCTAACCGATAGGTAATAAGATAATAGTATCTTGGTTTGTGTTCCAAACTTAAAGTCTTAGAACAAATAGCAAATCAAATCAGTAATGCTCGCTGGTTCCGACTCGTAGTGCTCAGACTACCAAAGAAAATATGGCACATGGGCGTCAGTGAAGGGATCTTCTTATAGAACGAACTCCTTCTATACCTCAACTACAAAATTAAGTCTAGTGCTGTAAAGACTGCCGTACATGGCTGTAATCGTAACTTCGCCTATTAATGTGCCTCTTCATCTGACATGAGCCTTCCTATGAATCATGTACTGGGCTGCTATGGACTGACTTTATCTGTTTATATATTTCTTTTGGGCTTTGACATTCAAAACGAGAAAGAAACAGCAAGTTTGAAGTAGTATAAATAAACACAACAGTGGCTAGAAGCATGAACACAAGCTTAAGCCTACTCACCACGGACGCAAATTCTGCAACAACTTTATTCATTTTTGCTCACATGGTATTACGTTGTCACTAAAAATAAAAAATAGTATTTTAAAAATTAGCATATTTGGTCGTCTTAAACTTAATTTTGTATGATCAAGTTAAGAAACAAAAGTGTTAAATATAATCCAACAGATGATTCAGTCTTATGGATTGTTGAATGATATACAAAGTGTTTTATAGTTACATGTTTCACTGCTGTTGTTGTTCAGATATGTTTTACAGTTATCTTTTCTTCATCTCATGATGTTCTTAAACTTTCTTCCTCTTTCTAGCTCTGTCGTATTGGCAGATTTTTCTGTTCGAATAATATGTACGGGTTAATCCTAAACTATTTTTTTGTGTGTTTATATATCATTTCAAATCTATACATAAACTTCATAAAAACGTGAGTCAACGATCTTCACCAGTTAACTACTTTCTTTGTCACACGATCGATAAAGGTTTTCAGCAAGCCACTTGGTGTGAGTTTTTATTTCAGTGGTTATGGTAGGTTACAAATGAACAAAAATTGATCACTTGCTTTTCTTTCATTATGTTACTCCTCAAACGTTTTCTGATTGACTACTACTTTTATCATGTGCTAGAACAAAAACGTCAAAAAAGGCGTCTGTGTATGTTAGTTTTAAGATCTGAAAAACGATTAATTCCATCACTTAGGCTTCATCCAGTCCCGTTATTTTGTTTTCGTCACTTAGGCTTCATCCAGTCTTGTTATTTTGTTTTAAGACTGGATGGAGCCTAAGTGACGAAAACAAAATAACTGGACTGGATGAAGCCTAAGTGATGAAAACAAAATAACAGGACTGGATGGAGCCTAAGTAATGCCCAAGTGACGAAAACAAAATAACTTTCATCTAGTCCTGTTATTTTGTTTTCGTTACTTAGGCTTCATCCAGTCCAGTTATTTTATTTTCGTCACTTAGGCTTCATCTAGTCCTGTTATTTTATTTTCGTCACTTAGGCTTCATCTAGTCCTGTTATTTTATTTTCGTCACTTAGGCTTCATCCAGTTCTTTTATTTGTTTTCGTCACTTAAGCTTCATCCAGTCCTATTATTTTGTTTTTGTCACTTAGGCTTCATCCAGTCCTATTATTTGTTTTTGTCACTTAGGCTTCATCCAGTCCTATTATTTTGTTTTTGTCACTTAGGCTTCATCTAGTCCTGTTATTTTGTTTTCGTCACAGGACCTGTCATGACTCAGTAAAAGCGTATAGGGTCATTCATATCTAAAACCCCAAGATTGGACAAAAATACTTCATCTTTGAAACAACACAAATGTCACATATTAACATTATCTCGATGTCTTCCTTATTCCTATACAAGCAATCATTTTGTTATCTCTGGACGAATTACACCTCCAGAGGCGCTGAATGTTATACCAAGCTTTGCTTTTGCGTGTATTTTGTTCTTAAGCACGAAGCTACACAAGTGGCTATCCGTGTTATACCTGCATTACCAGGCGAATAATAAACTTATATGTGACGTGCTGATGATGTAAACAGGTTATATCATAACCATTGTTGCTGAGAGCTAGTTGAATATTATGTACAGTAATGAGTGTAGTCAGGGGACAGTCCCCCAGTTGGTGAGCAACGTCGATCTACCTTCTGCATGGGAGTTACTGATTAAAAAAAAGACTTTCAGAGGTCTTTCTGTATTATCTAAATTACCGTTTGCGAATAAACACCTAACTAATGCACTCTGGGCTTTTTTAAGTTGGCGTAATGGTTAGTTTGTCAAGCTGCTGACTTTGATCTGATGGAATATAAAAAAAACTTCCGAAATCCTTGCAGAATGCTTTCTTCCACCAGAATTTATTGACAGAAAAGATGATTAGTTAATAAACCAATTTCTTTTATCTTTTTTTTTGTTCAATTCTATTTAATATTGCACTTTTAACATGTAACATTTGCCCTAAATCCCAGGTTTCGATTCCCTCCGATAGACACATCAGGAAGCCAAATATGGCTTTGTTCTAAAGCAAACAATGAAAAAAAACATGCACGATGATATACGAGTTATATTCAGCGAAAATAACACAACTGTAAATTTATATTAATATTAAACTTTTAAAAATACTCGTTATTTATTTCTTTGTATTGTAGGAACCAGAAGGGGTTTTGAACTGACCTATTCCATATTCATATGTGGTACATTATCTGGATATAAACTGCTATCAGAAAGTTCGTTTCTTTTATACACGTTCCAGTTCTTTTACTTTGGGCCTCCCAGTGTACTGAGACTTTGTTAAGTTCGTATGTGTTTTAATAGTGTCAGCTACAATCTCAGTAACTACAAAATTCTTTATTGCCATGTTAAATTCACACGTGTTTTAAACGTGTCAGCTATAATCTCAGCACCTGCAACATGTTTTATTGGCAGACTGTCAACTTCAGATGTGTTTTAATCGTGTAGGCTACAATCTCAGCAACTATAAAATGCTTGATTGGCACATTGTTAAGTTCACAGTGTGTTTGAATCGGGCCAGTTATAATCTCAGTGATGACAATATTACAGTGAGGATGAAATTCCTTGCTTTATTAGCACGTTTTAATTTGAAGTGTGTTTAGGTCGAGTCAGTTATAATCTCAGTTATGACAACACAAAAGTGAGAATGAAATTCCTTGCTTTATTGACACGTTGTTAAATTCAGCTGTGTTTGGATCGAGTCAGTTATAATCTCAGTGATAACAACACGAGAGTGAGGATGAGATTTCTTGCTTTATTGACACGTTGTTAAATTCAGATGTGTTTGGGTCGAGTCAGTTATAATCTCTTTGATAACAACACGAGAGTGAGGATGAAATTCCTTGCTTTATTGACACGTGTTTAAGTTCAGATGTGAGTATGAGACTCTTTGATTTTGTTTAGTAGAAATAACGATACACAGCCATGAGTATAGTTATAATCCTTTATTAAATAATGTAAGACTTTATTTTAATTACACTTTAACGATTCGAATTTACTTCAAGTAGACAAAATTTCAAGTAGTAATTGTTTAATAGTTCTCTAAATGTTCCACAAAACACACAAAAATTTAAAACCTTCAGTCACACTTTCTTGCATTTTTTTATTTCACCTCATATCATTAAAATTTCTGAACAGATGACTATTGTAATTATTCAGTACAAAGATGTGACGATATTGTCATTTACACAAAGGACTGGACTTTCCAGCTACATACGAATTTGTTCTAGAGGAAAATAATCATTATATAACCCTAAAATCACCATATGGTCCCCATCTGCTTTTTAAACATTTTTCTAAACTATTAGTATACTTAATTGTGTCTGGATCCGTGACCTTGTTAGTTACAGAATCCCTAATAACATGTAGTTCACACACAAAAAAATTCTAAACGTAAATACCATCAATATTGTTATTAATCCTACTAATTACTATTAGGTTTTCCTTTATATTTTACATAGAAAATGAGTTGTTATTTCACCCAATTTCTTTGATCAGTTCTTTTGTACTGAGTGTTTCAACAGACAAAAACATAAAGCGATATGTCGTCCCCAGCAGAAGTGAGTGATATAAAACAAGTCGATAATTTGAGGATTAATGCTAGTATTTGTTTTTTTTTAACGGTGGGAAAATACCTTTTAAAGAAGGATCATTGGTCAGGCTTTTACTCAAATTTAGCACTAGATGCAGTCTTAACATTGAAAGTCACTAAAGTTCAAACGAGCATCAGGGTAAAATACTTAAGAGTTAAATTTACGTATTTTCAAACAATCAAAATGAGACTCCTTGTGGGAAAAGATAGGAACATTCCTATTCCATTTTGATCCCAGGTTCAAGAATTAAAGATAGTTACGGACGTAATGCTCACCAATCCTCAAAACAACCCTAAAAACAGTATGACTTCGTTTAACTAAAGATTTTGAAGTTACAAATATTCTTACATTTTACATGTTTCCTAGTAAACGTATAAATACTTGTACTGACACATTGGATTGGAGCAGCAACATACTGTACAAATACTTGTACTGACACATTGGATTGGAGCATCAATATATTGTATAAATACTTGTACTGACGCATTGGATTGATGCATCAATATATTGTAAAAATTCTTGTACTGACACATTGGATTGGTGCATCAATATATTGTACAAATACTTGTACTGACACACTGGAATGGTGCAGCAATATATTGTACAAATATTTGTACCAATACACCAAATACATTAAGTAACGTTTTTCCTCTCCTTTTTTGTTTTGTGAGGGGGAGCCTTTGACCTATCTTCATCATCTAGTAAAAGCCATACCAAATACTAAATACACACATAACTTATTGTGAATTTGAGTATAAAGTAATCCTTTGAAAGACCTCGTGGGTTGGGCAGCTATTGATCTATTTTTAGTCCATGATTTGATTAAAAAATAATTTGAAACATATTATAATACACACCACATGGCTTTGACAAAACAAGTCATTTGAAAGGATCCTCAGGTTATTACGATAATTGGTATGAATCCAAAAATAAGTCGTTGTTCTGTAAACTTAACCGGGGTGGAGTAGGGGAGGGGGAGTGTATTCCTGTCATTAGTTTTAAGTAACCTGAATAATTATCCCGTTATTACATTTCCAACTATATACACATTATATCTGTTTATCAATACTTCTGATGATGCTTTAGGAAAACTTCAGTTCTTACGAGTTCAGTCCGCTCTTCAACCACCTATTCATTTGTTGAAAGAAAAGGCTTAGTGATACTCAAAGGAAAGTTAATGACTGTTCAGAATATCCACAGATAAGAAAGCGCTACCCACCGTTTTCATATGTTTCAGCTTTCTTTGGGTATCTTCCAATTATGACTGGACTTTTATCTTATTTTTCCAGATATCATTTCCGTTCGTTTTTGTACTGGATGAATATCGTAGCTTTCGAGTATCGAACATAGTGTTAAAGCTGAAGTTCTCTTAAAGACTTGAAAAAATGAATATGCTGAGGAAATGGGAAGACTCAGATTGATAAGAAGTTTTCTCTCTGATTTTCGACTTTCTCGAATTGTATACCAAGTACAGCCTGCAAATTTGTAATTCTACGATACGGAAAATTTCTGCCCATGAAATTAAATATGTCAGCTAGTGAAGAAAACTTTCACTACTATCACGTGGAAGGATACACTAATACAACACGACAAGGAATGTTGGACGCCAGCCACGACAGTGAATCCATCTTCTTCCTGTGTGATAACAAAAAAGAGAAAAATATATTAAATTGAAACGAATGACTATTAGTGAAAACGAAGGTTAAACTCGTCTCACTGCTGGCATTAAGTGCTGGCAACTGACTGAATAATAGAGAAACATGATCAAGTCTCCCGTTTCACATTTCTAAGATATAAATCTTTCATTAGAGTAACTAGTAAATGAATTATCTAGTAACTTAGCAACGAAACAAAAAGATGTTGTTAACGGGGTAACTAAAATAACACTTATAAGATAATGGATGGAATATTTTAGTTATACTCGAACCCGGTTCTTTAGAACAGTAATTAATCTGTTATAATCATCGTACGAAACATGTATTACTAACTTGTAAGCTCAGTAACAGTTTTAAGAAAAATCCTACTTAGAGCTCTTAGAAGCTGTTTTCTGTGGGATTAGATGGTCTAATCTGATAAACATGCTATGATTTGTAACCCACTTGCCAGTATATGTTGCTGAAGTAATCTTTTTAATTTTGAAAAAAAAGAGTAAAATATGAAGAAGAGTGTAAAAAATAATACAACATCTTCCAATTAGATGTTTTGTTTGAGTTATTCGTTCAACGCAACACAAAGGCTAGAAGGAAGATAGCTAGTAAATAGTACCTACCACCAACTCCTGATGCTCATATAGAATAGTAAGATTTGACCGTCTCTTTTACAATCACCTATGAACCAGAGTGTAGAGCACTGTTTTTCTTTAGTTAACGGTGCGTGAACCATTGACCCTCGGATCCACTGTCCGGAATACTAATGGCAGATAAATTTTGAGAATGTTGTATTTCGTAGTACAATATACGAAAGGAATAACTGGTCCTTTCAAAGTTATATAAATTCTATCATCTTTAGCCATACATACAACACAACTTAGAAAGCACTTAGGAATTGTATTTTGAAATGTTTGTTTGTTTCTGGCAAAGCTACTAAGTATTGGCAAACGACTTGTTCTAAATGAGTCTTTTCATTTCAAAAGTTTTTCTAAGAAATTTTAAAGGGTTTAAGATAGTAAAAAAAGAAACAGCGTCACACATATACATATTTTTAAGGCAGTATTAGGTTTATCCGCCATCGCTCCACAATAGAAGACAAATTTTTTATTTCTTTTTTTTTTAATGGACAGCCGAAGAACTATTCCAAGTTAGACACATACGCTATATATCAATATGTTCCTATTTGTATCGATCGTAAGCCAACTGCTGCACGGGCAAAGCTATGATGTCCTTGAAGGAAAAGCTGCTTCGTCTACAAACTAAAGGCTTCCTCTCTTGGTGGGTATGATAAGACTTTAGAAAAAGAATACCACTGGTAACTGAAAATACCTACTTATATAATTACGACTAAATAGGTTTATCGACAGCTAAAACACGTGAACATTTTATCAGAATATTAATAAGATGGCTAAAAACCTTGTTACAGTCACATAATTATTCAAATCGGAAGTTATATATTTGTAAACCATTTATATACTTAAGATTTAATTACGAAATCTAAGTTATTACTGTCAAACTTAAAAAAGCCTAATCTGCAAAGAAAAACAATAAAAATATTATAATAAATCTCTCCTCATTTTCCAGCAGAAGAATCATCCCTAAACTCTCTTTGATCATAGTGCTGGATTTTATATTTAAATTGATTTTTATTAATATATTTCTAGCATAATATTCAATTGGAATTTTCAACCTAAAAATCACCATATACGCATGAGAAGTAAGTGTCCATACTTTTTAACTACTGACCAAAGAGAAACAAACCACCTATAAGCAGTGCCCGCCACCAAAATGGTTTTGTCCGGCTGTTTGATAGGAATAGCAGAACTGACTATTACTTTTATGATGCATCCACAGCTGAAAATGCAGAAAATTTTCAGACTTTCGTTCCACAATCCGACATGTTAATCATTATACTACGCTTGACCCCATAATATTCAGAAGATGAAAATTACATCGTTTAAAATATATTACTTCTAGGTGCGCATCCATTAATACCCGGATCAGTGGAACACTTGCCCAAAACAATGTAAATTTATGTTTTCTACAGGATATATATACCCTTATCCATCATTAGCACGTTGAATTACTCCTTACCTCCTGCTATCTGACAGTAAAAAGTTATCACCGCTCTTAACAGTAAACGCCAGTCTTATAGTTATTAAGTCCTTTACAGTAAACACCAGTCTTATAGTTAGCACTGTCCTTTACAGTAAACACCAGTCTTACAGTTATCACTGTCCTTTACAGTAAACAACAATCTTACAGTTATCACTGCCCTTTACAGTAAAAACCAGTCTTACAGTTATTGCCACCCTTTTAGTAGATACAGATACCCCTGCAAGTCAACCAATCTTTCCCCCCCCCCCAGTGGCTCAGCGGCAAGTCCAAGGAATCTCGCCACTAAAAACTGGGTTAAGAACAAGTAAACAAAAACCATTTCAGTAATATTCTTCCACAATAAATCTATGCATACAGATATAAATAGATACTTAATACATTTATATCCAGAGGTTGAGTATGTTATATTGAAACGATTTTGGAGTCTCACCACGTCGTTACTGTCCATGTCGCTACGTCCAGTGATCTCGACCTTGACCATAGTTCCGCAGCGTAGGAACTGACATTGCAAATGACTCCAACGAAAGGCTTTCATGTTCAAAGCACACAACTTCTCACTGTCTGGTTTCAATAAGCAGCCTAGCGTAAGACGGCGACGATTTTCCAGCGCCCGTTTCAACAGTCCAATCGCACAGACATCCATAGGCGCTACGTCCGGCGACTTGACCGGCATGTCTTCGTATGTAATTGCATGAATACCCGTTTCATTGTCTAGCTGGTCGAGGTAAGCGAAGAGTGAACAGGTATGTCGTGGAAATAACTTGCGTGTTTTGTACAGTCAGAGATCCTTCTTGATTTCTTAGTTATGTTGCGACCTGGGACCTGGGACACATGGAAAGCTTTTGCCGCTGACCTATGTGTTCGTAGAATCTCACTTCTTACAAGATTCTGCACTTGCCTCAGCTGGGGTAAGACTTGAAGCAGGTCTCTCTTGGGATGGTTCTGGTGTCCTAAGTTGTTCCACATTCCTTTGTTTTTCAATGGCATTAAGTACAAGGAACATCCCTGTCTTGAAAATTCTAAATTCCCGATCTGAACACATCTGTATTATCTGAGTGTGTGAATATTTTGCATCGAAAAGGGCTATTACATAACATTCCCAAAATCAATCTGTTTTCGGTCGCATCACACTATCTATGAATGCCAAATAATGTCAAAATGTAGTTCTGATACATGATATTCCACTGCGACTTTATATTCGTTGTAGTTGTCACGTGACTTAATGACTTTTTTTATTCACTTTTGTTTATATAACGTACTCATCCCTCTGTATTTAATTAAAAAATAATGATTGTACGTTTTTCTATTGCTTGTGCAGAGAGTGGCTTGATGACTAGCGCGCCTGGATATGAATTGGAAGGTATAAGGTTCGAACTGCAACATGCCGCCGAACAAACTTTGTATTATTATAGCTGTAAAAATCAAATCCTTTATTAGGTTTAGAAGAGCCACCACTGCAGCTGACGTTGTTGTTTTTTTTCTTCTGGTCAACAGTTCTAGATTAGTGGTGGGTATGCCTGAACCTTAATGGTCTCTATTCCTACTGTTAAACCCAAATGTAGCAAATGTGCCGTTCAGGCTGAAAATATCATACATCTTCACCATCTTTAAAGGCAATGGTGTAACTAGAAGTGTGCCTTAGTGCTAGCCATCATGATTGAATAGTCCATATGTTGGTCACCTCTACAAACACACAAATGATCTTAATTGTTACTGTTCCGAAACTAGTTCAGTATGTTAGCTTAGTTAACACGATGCGTAGCACATAGTAGGAGTGCGCAGAATAGTAGCTTACGTTTACACTTATTACTTTAGAAATGATCATCAAATGTTAATGTTATGTTATTTTTAATTGTTTAGCAACGACCAATTATTTTTATGGTTTACACAAATACTCATCGTTTTGTAGCAAAAATCTTAAAGCAAAAAAATGTCTTCGCCGTTTCCTTTTAAATAAGTTAATTAGTTTCAGATGAAGTCATTCCTATTACGGTTTTAACGTTAATTAGTTTCAAATAAAGACATTCCTATTACGGTTTTAACGATTTCCTTACGTTGTTGGACAGAGAGAAAAACAAAACAATCTTAAGAAGTAAAATCGTGCTTGAGATTTCCTTGGTCTCCTGTTTACTAAGCGGTAAGATCGAAGGCTTAGAAACGTTAGATTCGGGGTTCGATCCCCGCTACACACATATCGCGAATAGTCCACTGTGCAGATTTGCGCTGAAACAAACAGTTATAAGATAGCATTTGTATTGGAGGAGGAGAATATTTTATGGCTAGAGTGTAAACAATACTGCTAGTAAACTGTATTAGTTATATGAAAAATAGGCGTAAGAAAACAAGCTAAGATAAGAAGAAATCAATTTACCATAAGCTTTTATGTGTCAAGATCTGGTACCTCAACATTTGCTATTTTAGCGTTGTGATAATTTCACTACTTTTATAGATAGTTCCACAAACTTTATCTATCCCCATCGTTTCTCACTTCGCAAAAATAAAAAATAACGAAAAATCGATAAAAAATAAAAACAAGCATTGCCATTAGAAGAGTTAGGTGTGTATGATTCTGACATACGTTTGCACCATGCACAGCTGTCATATGAACTTTTCTCACCAGGCCTAACTTTGTGAGATAGTATTCAGCAATCTTCTTACGATTGATTCTCACCAGGCCTAACTTTGTGAGAGAGAGTATTCAGCAATCTTCTTACGATCCATTCTCACCAGGCCTAACTTTGTGAGATAGTATTCAGCAATCTTCTTACGATTGATTCTCACCAGGCCTAACTTTGTGAGATAGTATTCAGCAATCTTCTTACGATCCATTCTCCCCAGGTCTAACTTTGTGAGATAGTATTCAGCAAT